TAACCGAGCGAGGCACTGGCATGGAAGCCCGTGGCCCCAGGAGATGTGATACAGCTCTGGGAATAAGGTGGCTCTTCAGAGCCCTTAATCACTCCACTGGCCACTTTCCTTTCCTTGGTAATGAGCTCGCAGCTAAGGCAGGACATGAACCGAGCATGGTTTTCTGGCCTACGAACAACCTTCCTCTGCAAATATTTGCTCCTTTAAAGTATTTCAGCCAGGATAAATTACACCTTTTAGGAACCAGTCCACAGAGAGACCCTTGAGGGCCTACTTCAAAGCTGTCAAAAAAAAAGATGTTTTACCTCCCTGAATATCAAACTCAGGGCATCTTTCCTACTTTCAGCGTTATTCCTACTTTCACCTTTGACTGTGAATTAAGCAAATTTCTATCTTTCCACTTGTCTACTGAGCTTTTGGTAAAGGCACAGAGGACCTTCAAAGTCTTCGGTATTTCTGGTGTTTTGTTGGCAGGGGGCACAATTTGCGCTGTTACCTTTCAAAAGTGTGGGAAATAGTAAGCTCTTTCTATGAAAAAAAAAAGGTAAATAATATGCTGAAATGATGATCCTATCAAAAAAAAAAAAAAAACCCTGCTGCACTGTCTTCTCTTTGGTAACAATAACAAAGCAGATATTTTATAGACAGCGTCAACAAGCTGTCCCTAAAATTTTGTCCTGGCATGTTATTAGTATAGAAATTGGCTCAACCCCAGATGCCTTATGGATCTTAGGAGATCAGTGGATGGGTTGTGTCTATTCACCTGAACAAAGCGAAGAGCAAGAATGTGAAATACAAGTGTGTACTTGCGTGCAGCTTCCCTGACGTTACCCTCCTCTTCTGTGGCTTCCGCACCTGTGTGGGCGGTTTGCACAAAAGCAGAACCTGGGGCCAGCTCAAATCTCACCAGCTTGAGTGAGGCTTTAGTTGCAGAAGGGTTTGGGGAGGATCCCAAGTGCCACTCTTGGAAGTTAGATGCTTAGATCCAAGTTTAGGCGTCCTGGGAAGTTATCTGAATTTAATTGTAGTCCTTTGCCACAAATATTTAGCGCAAGGGTCATGCTGACACCTTGGGACTTGGTGGTTTGAAGGCCTGTATTAGTCTTGGCCAGGTAGATAGGCAGTGGCCTAAACTGAGGTAACTAGCAGTGCCCACGCTGGCTTTGCGCTGATCAAGCAGCTTCTCTCCGAATTTGGTGCAATATTGCTGTTTACCGTTGGGACTGCGATAGCACCTGGAAGATGGAGGTGCTGCAGGAATTGGGCAGTGCTGGAAAGAGGAGGACATGCCTTCCCCGGGGAACCTGCAGCCCTGGGTTTCCTGCTCCAGCGGCTGCAGTCTGAGGCGAAAAAAATGAACACTTGCAGCTTTGGGAAAAAAATGCCCTTCCGTCTACTGCCACCCTGCCTTGTGGAGGTGCCCCTGACCACCCCTCAGTGCTAGCAGAAAATAACGACCTGCACAAACTGCGGACATCAGAACATAAGATCTGAATTTGCTAGAATTAGGGAGAATCTCCTAAGACTGGCCTATTTTTAGAAGATCCTCTGTGGAGGAAACAAAGCCTAATTAAAAGCAGCCGCTCTTGTTGCAGGATCCCACCATTTCACATGTGACCCTGGGAGTCTTCCACCTCTCTGGGCTTGTTAAATCTCACTGTTAACTATCCGAGTCCTGCTTAACTTCAAAGGCATGCCCTAATACTAGCTTTTTCCAGTCGTATCTTCCTGTTTTCAAGACATGAGATGAACATCACCCTTATTAGGAAGTTCTGATCTTTAATACTGTCTTTTGGAGAGCATTAGTTATAATGATTCCCTTCTTGGATAATGAGGCTCTTCTTTCGACAACTGTGGGATTAGTGGGGTTGTGTCTCTTAATCTCCACCAAGGCTTCTTATGGCTGGGAAAAGCACAGGGGAAAAAAAAAAACATTCTTTTTGCAGACCAGTTTAGCTTGGAAATTGTGCTTTTTCTAATTATCACTCGTGAAGAAATCTGTTTTTCCACAAGTCGACTTGCATACTTTTTAGTGGTATAACAGGTTCTGAGGAGAGATCTCTGTCACAGATAGCAATCTGAGCTTCCCTCATTAAGAGGCAATCACATCTTGTATTTACAAGGCTCTCCTAAATGCATTGTGTTACAATTACTCCCTTTGTAGCAGATTATGCTGAAGAGTTTTCCCCCTTCCCTTTAGCACCCTCCAAGCTTTACAGGGCATTGGGAACGTTCAGAAAGCCTCTGCATGGGAGGGTCTCTCTGCACATCTTCAGCCCCTTCCCCAATGTTGCGCCAAAGCAGTGGTGGGAGCTGCACGTGCCATCAGCCGGTGGGCAAAGACTTCAGTGTTGAATCCTTGCAGCAGCTCCTCACTACGTCCTGGTCTTCCACAGGCTTATGCCATTAGTGTCTCCTGTGTCTCAGAGTCGTCAGCTGTTGCACGCAGAGGGATGTTGAAGGGGTCAAATGGGCTATCTGGACATCTGTGGTCCCGTGGACATCTCAGGAGAGCGGGCAGAGGAGCTGCAGCCCCCGCTGCAAGGGCTGCTTGTGGCCAGTGACCCTCCTGCTCCCCCACGCTCGCAGAGCAGCTCGTCAGCGCTCGCACGGGCGGGTGACCGAGACGTCCCAGGAGCAAAGGCGGTGCGGAAACAGGGGTGAGGAACTGCAGGAAGCCCCTCTGCCTCTGCGTTGGGCTTCTCCGAGTGCAGCCAGGCCAGGAGACGGCGCAAACCCCAAGCCTGCTGACGGCCAACTGTGCATCCTCTACGTTCAGCCCTTCACTCCGCGGTTCCCTTCAGCCCCGTTGAAAAGCTCCTCGTTGGAGCCAGGGCTCCCTATCTGTCCACTTGTACTCAGCCAACTGTCAACAGCACCCTCCTGGGCCCAGGCACTTGCATTCAATTACCTTGAATTTCATCATTTAAAGGAAAAAAAAAAGGCAAATTTGGCAGTTTTTGCAGCCTGGCAGTTTTAGGCCACAGTTTTGAAAGGGGCAGAACAAATGCCTCAGGTTACAGCCTGTTATATATGATCAGCTCGCCAGGTTTAGGACCTTTTTTTTCTGCTACATGGTGTTGGCTTTGGGCATGTTTCTAGCTTTATTCTGCGTACAGGAGAGCAATCAGCATTGGAAGCTGGTGAGAGCAGTTGGTCAGCACCCTGAGCTTGATGTGCCTTTCTCCTTGCGAGATGCATGTTACAAGAAACTCACTTATTAAGCAGCTTACATGTTTTGAGGGGGAAAAAAGTGTTGTAGATTGCATTTTAAAGGAAGCTAAAAATGCAAGCCAGCAAATAGAAAGCCTTAATGTCCTTGTGAATTAACCATCACCGTCGCGCTACAAAAACACTACTTTTACTTCCTCTGCTGTAGCTTCTCATGCTACTCGAGTTCCCCTGGGGAACAGAAGAAGACCCAGCAGAGAAGCAGATGGGAGAAAGAAGAAATGTTGTACAGATTACCTAATTTGGGGCATAATGTAGACCTATGCCTATATTTCTCTAGGCTGTTACCAGAACTAACTATTGATATTTTTTTCCTAAAAAACAGCAAACCCAAACATTAAAATCTCTTCATTTAAGTGAACTAGGCAACAGAGAAAGCCTTCAACTATGCTTTATAATTGAAAACTGGTACCAATGAGGCAGTAGATGAAAGTTGTATCTGCTCCACATTCATCATTTCCCTCAGGCTAGAGCATGCACGAGATTCAATATGGGCATTTCGGCAAACGGACAAGCAGAGGTAGGTCACGAGTACCACACTGACTCAGCACATCATGGCAAGGGGCCCTGATGTTGCCTCTCCACCCTCTCTAAACTGTGGTTTGCAGCTGATCAACACCCGACTAACACTGAGTTGAGGGACACTAGGGGTGATTTTCACAACAGGGCTCAGATGGCCTTGCCCAAGTCGTGCTTCTGCAGCTGGTTAGGCACTGTGTTTTGCTAAGGAGCTCGTGTCAAGCGCAATGCTTGGGTCGCATCATCCAACCATCAAGATTTCGGCTGGAAGCCTTTGGGATCCGAAATCCCATACAGCTTCCCCAAATGTTTGGGCACCCACGCTGCTACATCAACAAGCCCTCTGCTGGCTTCTCAATCTTTCTAAATGCTTTCAAGACCATTCCTCCTTGCCACTCCCGTGGCAAGAGAAGTTGAACATAAGGAAAAACCCGGAGGTTCAGCCAAGTCCTGTCCCACCACAGCCAGGCCTCAAGCAACGTCCTGTGCTCACGAACAGCGCTTACTAACCTGCCATGGGCAGGAGTGTTAGAGAGCGCTCTTCTGGCTCTGCAGCTTCACGCTTACCCCAACCAGCGTTGAGGTAGAAGTATTGACTAGATTGACTTTCTTGGAGGTTTTCCTTACTCTGCTGTGTCATCCACTCAGATGCCACAGTTATGACTCATTAAAAGGGCAAGCTGAGGCGGGGGTTGGCGGAAAGGAAGAAATTACAGAGAAAAATAGGCTCTCAAGAACCTTCCTGTTTGTTCAGGGCCTGGTCGTTAAACAAAAGCAGGGGAGAAGACACACACCCTGGCTGACACGCTCTTTGCTGGTGTAGCACTAGCTTGGCTCCATCGCCTGAGACCACGGGCCAGATAAAGCCCTGCTGCAAGGGCTTTTTCCTCGGAGGAGGTCGCTCAAGGGAGGAACGTGGTCCCTTGAGCTCGCTGGCACGCGCAGGAAGGCCACGAGCGAGGCCCTGTCGCTCGCTCTCTGCCGCGACAGCCAGGCCACCTTCTGCTTGGCAGCTAGCAAAGTGGCAGCATCACTAAGAGGAGTGTGAATAAACTGATTCTGGCCCACTTTGCTCTGTTGTCACCATGGGTTGTTATGGAGGAGCTGGGGGGCCCCCAGTGAGAGCAAACCGAATTACTGCGCCCTGCACTTCCTGGGGCAGCAGAAAGGGCTTTTGGAAAGAAGAGGTGGGGAAATAACCCTTTTTTTTCTCCTTGTACAATAAGTGTCTCTCCTTTTTTTTTTTGCAGGGGGGAAAGATGCCAGCCTCTTTAAGGAGTCTGCAGGAAATGGCTATTTTTATGGGAGTATTCGGCACTGGTGGATGTGTAGTTATGTACAGTGTTTTGCAAAGTAAGTCTCCACACTGTTAGCAGCCTTATTTCTCTCCACCTCTTTCACTTGGTTTTGTGCAGTGGGGATGAAAATAATGGTGCTTAAGATCTGAAAAGCTTATGAATGTAAGGGAAGTGTGGCTGAGCTTCAGGGACCTGCAGGTGTAGGTTCTGCTGCAGGTAATCCCAGCACCGCTGCACTTGTTCCCCTGGGCAGGTTTTATGCAGAGAGCAGCCTGCTGCGCGCGGTGGAAAATCTGGCTTTGGGGAGGTGGGAAATAAAAGGCTGGGCAGCCGTGTAGGCTCAGCTTCCTATCGAGATTTTACAACCAAGCAGGAAAAGAAAACCACCCAAAGGAGGGATCTGTGAGGATGTGTTAAAGCCTAGCGGTCTCATCAGCAGCTCTCCTTGTGGTGCTGGCCCTGAAACACAACTCACTGGTGAGGTGCGAAGGCATCATTAATTTGCCAAGAAGACAGTGAAGGACAGTGAAGAACAACCCAGGTGGAGGAGAATAGGACAAAGCTAAAACCTGGGCAGATACTGTTGCCCTTTATAGACAGATCTAGTTGCTAAATGCCTTTGGTTGAGGATGCGTATTATTAGCCTAAGCAATACTTGTTTATTTTTTCTCAGATCGCTTCTAGATGTGAAGCATCAGATCAGAAGTGGCTTTGCCTCGTTGTCTGGGGGTAATGGAGGCCTCTTGGCCCCTTCCCCCTCTCTGCTGGTGCTATCAAGTGATATTGCTTTTCACCTACCCTTATATCAGAGGAAGCTGCCAGAAAAGTGTAGCCAAGGCATTCCTCAAGCCCTCAGATTAGTTGTGAAACCTCCCCTTCATTTTACATGTATTAATAACAAATCAGGAGGCCGGAAAGCAAGCTTTATTTTTAGGCAGTTCGTACTGTCAAGCTCCGGTGTACATGACAGATAACACGATCGTCTTATGCTTTAAAGTATTGAATCTGGCTTTGAGAAGGACATTAGCTTTTTTTTTTTTTAAAAAAAAAAAACTTTCCTTTGCAGCACAGTGATCTAGCCATCTCTGAAAGCATCTCACCCCTGCGCTAAGGAAAGTCAAGCAGCTCCTCCTTCCCCAAATCACTTAGCTTTAGTCAAACGGCTCCACGTGATGGCTGGTCCTTGCTGAAAAGCACCTTGCCCTGCTACAATACTGACGGCCACGCAGCATCTCCTTGGGGACGCCCTTCTCTAGCCACTTGCTGCACGCCTGTGGGGGCTTTTCCCCCTTGCTTTGGAGGCTTCTTTGCCCAAGAGGGTTAAGCACTGTCTGCAACACTGCAGCGCCCGAGCGCTGATGTGAGCGGCCCTCCTCGGTGCCTCCCTTCGCACATCGCCTCCCCTCGAGCTGCAGCTCTGTGGCCGCCTTTTGGAAGGCTCCATCCAAACCACAGCAAGGGCTTTGGAGCGGCGGCGGCTGGTGCTGACCCGCATCAGTGTCAGTGAAATAGTCTCCATTCCTAAAATATTTTCTGTGCCTCCTTTAAAAACACTGAATCACATTCAGAATGCTTCCAAGTGTTCATCCTTATGCCCTTGCTTTTCTTTTTCTTCTTCCTCCTTTTGGATGACCTGCAAACATCTGACAAGCAGGGATGCTCATGTCTGAGCTGAACCGTGTGTTGGTACAGAACGGGCTATATTCCATGCTCTTTTCACTTGGACGTGCTGCGTAACATTTTTTTGCAGCTCTGCTCCTCCGATGTAAGGGCTGGTTTCCTCCTTCAGACAGATTTTCTACCCAGTTAATCATTTTGAACTGTTTTTTTTTTTTCAGGGAGGATGTGGGAGTCTGGAGGAAATGTCTTGACTTTTTCTCTTTGTATTTGTACTTGGATTCCAAGTGGCCTGTCTCCTCGCTATCCTGTTGTCTCTCTCCTCTAGAGAGGTTTTCCAGGACCCAGTATTATCAGCAGGGCTTGGAGCAGCTGAACAACCACCCTGCTGCCCTGGAGGCACTGGGGGCTCCTCCTCTGAAGGTTCACAACATCCAGCTGTTGGATGGCAACAACCGCGTGGACCGGGAGCGAGCGCAGGTAAGCGGACGCACCACAGGATGGCTTCCCAAAGAGGCTGCACGGGCTGCAACAGGGGGATCCCTCGCGTGAGCACGAGCCCCATGGGGAGGCAGGAGGCTGGGGTGACGGGCGTCCAGAACAGAGATCGAGCGGGCCAATGTGGGAGACATGAACGGCAAGAGCGGTGCCTTCACTTCATGCTGCACGGGCAGGGCGCCAAGGAACCTCTTAGTTGGTGCATCCATCCCCTGCTGATGGAGCAGGCAAAAATCCTCTCCAGACATGTGTTGAAACCCACCTTTCAAAGCGGGCGCCCTTTTCCTCCCTCTCCACATGCTCCCTGGTACATATTAAAGCCTCGCGCAGGGCAGAGCTTTTACAGCCACTCATGAGCCATGCTTCAGTGCAGGCCACGCAGTGTGTTTTTGAAAGCACCTGCAAGGCTGCAGCATGGAGGCTGCTGCCTCGCGCGGGGCTGAGCCCTGGGATTACACAGATGCCGGAGAATGCGGCCCCGGGTGCTCACGCATTGCGCAAGGCGCTGACTTGCGCCAGCGCAGGGCTGGGCTGAGGCGAACGTCGCCAGCACAAGCTCCCCTCCGCTCTGGTGCCGGCTGAAAAGGGCATCCGTCCCGTCCACCAGTGCTGCTGCACAGAGACCTGAGAAGGGAGCTTTGAGTCAAGGACTGGCTGTTCCTCCCTGGCTTTGCTGGACACCCAGGAGCTTGCTAGAGAGCTCTTCAGGCAACTCATCCAAGGAGTCTGTCACATAGAATCATAGAATGCTTAGGGTTGGAAGGGACCTCTAGAGATCATCTAGTCCAACCCCCCTGCATACGCAGGGACACCTAGAGCACGTGGCACAGGACTGCATCCAAGCGGGTTTTGAAGATCTCCAGAGAAGGAGACTCTACAACCTCTCTGGGCAGCCTGTTCCAGGGCTCTGTCACCCTCACTGTTAAGAAATTTTTCCTTAAGATCCTATTGAATTTTTGATGTTTCAGTTTCCGGCCATTCCCTCTAGTCCTATCAGTGGCCACCACTGAAAAGAGACCATCACCGTCCTCTGCACTCCCTCCCTTGAGGTACTTATAGACACTGATTAGATCCCCTCTCAGCCTTCTCTTCTCCAGGCGGAACAGGCCCAGCTCCCCCAGCCTCTCCTCATAGGGCAGATGTTCCAGGCCCCTGATCATCCTCATAGCCCTG